CTCCTGGCATTACGTAGATACCTGATTAGATGTAAAAGGCTCTGATTTGCCTGGGACCCAGAGAGGTACCTAACGTCCCTGGAGGGGAAGGAGGGCTTTGTCGCTAGCGAGCTTTGATTGGTGGAGCAGTGTTTTCTCAGCGGGGCATCTGAAAGGCGCGCTCTACCACGTAAGGGGGGCAACACTGTACAGATTGAGCCCTTCTTTTGACGACGCGACGACATTGAACCGCTGTAGAAGGCGCGCCTTGGTCCCCGGGGGAGATTCTCGAGTTTCATCTTCATTCGGCGCCCTCTGTGGTACGAAGGAGGGCATTCGGCAGCACCCGTTGTCTCACTATCAATCAACCCCACTGAAAAACTGCATCTCATCTCAGTCGACGGACTTAAAGGAGTGGACAAGAGCCCTCGCAGACACCAAAAAGTCCCAGATTGAGATGGAAACACAGACCGAGATGGCAACATGGAACGGTCTCCCTGTAGAGCTCAGAGGCCTCATCCTCGGCCACCTGGCCAACAGCGCCGTCGCCGAGCGTCGCTCCAAAATCTGGCGGAGCAAGGCCAATCGCCACGACATGGGCAGCTACGCCGTCGTATGTCGCCAGTGGCAGGGCTTCATCGAGGAGATCAACTTTAGCTCGCTCGAGATCAACTCCGCCAAGGATCTCTCGCGCTTCGACGAGCTGACCCAGGACCCCCGTCGCCGCTCGCTGCTTCGCCGGTTGGCCCTGCGTATCGAGCTACCCCGCTATGCCCTCAAGCTCGCCAAGGTCCCCGAGACCGACGAAGAGCAGAATGCCAACGAGATCGCCTTTACGCAGGCCATCTGGACCTTTTTCGACATTCTTAGCAAGTGGGAGCCGACGGGGAAAGGTAGCATCGAGCTAGAGTTAAGCGCTGCTTCACCGAGCGACAAGAACAAGTACTTTGGCGAAGCGGGCCTCGACCAAGACGGCAATTCGAGATTTTTCGATCATGATCTGGACTTTTCATTCATCACTGCAGCATGCGAGCAGATTGGACGGCACGGCTTGCCGGAGGTCTCTGTGGTGTCAAGCTGTCAGGTGCTTAGACAGAATCATCGCAACTTTTCATCGCGGTCGCTTCTCACCATCTACTCGAGTCTGCCCAATCTGAGGGAGGTTCGATACGAGCCATGGCATCAAGTGGATATGGAGGCACAACTAGAGGTTGACTCAGGTACTAACCCCCCTTTTATGGTTGCTCGAATGTGATGCTAACTTTTAAAGACCACGCACGAAGCCTACCCTTTTGGCCGTCGTACATCAAGCGCTTCAGCATCTTCGAGCACTTCGACGCCTTTAACGACGGTGCCGGTGGCGAAGAATGGGAAGACGCAGATTCCGACAGTGATGATGATGCTGCGGCAGGGGGAAATGGAGGCGGCAATGCTGACACCAACGACGCCGAGGACCAGGGCGACGTACCAAGAACAGCCTGTCCAAGCCTGGGTCACAATCTCGGATACCTCAGTTTACAGGCTGAAGAGATGGCCGTATCTAATGTTGCCGACGCCTTGGACTTCTTTGGTGGTGTCCTCGGCCGCAAAACCACAACTTCAATCTGGCAAAATCTGCGCCTGTTGACTCTGACTTCCCACACAATGATCTCTGGCGTGCAACCCGAGAACATCAACGCCGTCCTCTTCCTCACAGCTACAGCGGCAAAGCACATGCCGGCGCTCAAAATGCTGGAGCTCTACAAGGTGGACCAGTTCGGCGCCGCCGTCTTCCGCTATACTGTAGACGACAGGTCGACAACTCTCAGCTGGGAAGGCACATGGGAGTTCCGCGTAGAGAAGCGCGTTAGGGACGCCTTTGCGAGCGTCGCCCGCAAGAACACGCCAAACGAGCTGACATTTCTGCCGGAGACCTTGCTGGGCGACTACCGCGGACCATTCGTCTTCATCAACGAGAACCTTAGGTCCAAGGAGCTGGTGCTACATCCTACGTCGCTAGAGGACATGCTGTCCAAGAAGATGGACAAGTGCAAAGCCTGCAACGGCTTCTGCGCCCACCCCAAGACGGGCGTTCAGGTTGAGTGGGAGTCGCTGGCCATGATCCCTGGCCCGGAGGAAACCGAGGACGGGGATGTGTGAGATCGATGCTCTAGTACATTATGGATGAGTACATGATTAGATACCCGGCGCGCGCCTGGAAACGACGGCATGGCATAGACAAAACAACATGAGTGAAAGTTTACCACATATGTCAAAATATTTAGTGAATCTCTTCCAATCAGTCAAGCCGAGTCTAGTATCACCCCTAATTCTCGCCGATGATTCATTCGGCGTGCCACGGACGCTCTGGGAAGGTCCTAACTCCTAAGTCCGAATTTTTGCCGGGCCAATTCTCTCCGCCAAAGCCAAACACCCGCTGGGAGAGGGGAAAAACAAAACAAAGGATGCACTGCTCGCCAAAGCCCGATTCGCCCCACCCCCACGTGACCAGGGTCCACGCACACAAACGGACAATTCGCCCTCGCTCCAAGCCTGCCCTCACCCCATCGCAAGCAACCCGACGCCCATCGCCCGCGAGCATTCTCGACAACCCTACTCACCGAAAAATCAATCACAGCAACACCACCCCAAGCCGACAACATGGGAAAGGTTCACGGATCGTTGGCGCGTGCCGGAAAGGTCAAGTCTCAGACGTAAGTCTTGTCCCGGCCGTTTTTCTGCTTGTTTTTGGGAGGAGGAGGCGACGCTTGGGTCATCGCGGCAAACGAGGGGGAAACCAGACACCGGTCGGTCGGAAAGAGGAGGAATCATTTCGGTGCACCGCACAACGCGTGCAGACTATTTCATCGCAAGACGACAGAAGATTTATGGATGATGAGAAAACGAATGACCGATCGGGCTTTTGTTTTTCGCTGGGACATTTGATCGATGGAAGACGACTAGATGCTGACATTCTCGATAGCCCCAAGGTTGAGCCCCAGGAGAAGAAGAAGACCCCCAAGGGCCGCGCGAAGAAGCGTCTCACATACACCCGCCGCTTCGTGAACGTCACCCTCACCGGTGGCAAGCGCAAGGTACGATTCCCTCGATGAAGACTCTCGCTCCGTCTTCGAAACCCCCCGACGATAAACACAGCCTTGAACTAACGCCACCGACTAACAGATGAACCCCAACCCCGGCTCTTAAGCTCCCTGCCCTCTTTCTGTTTCCCACAATGCATTCGATACGACTCTAGGAACGTCTGGGCCCACACCGACATGAGGGTGGAATCGACGGGACGTTGTTAAAAAGGGTGGTGGCTGGCGAACAATGGAGAAATCTTTTTTATGGGAAAATGCCCCCGTTCGGCGTCGGAGGAAGTGCCCACGCACTGCAAACGTGGAGGAAGCCTCCCCGCCCCTTTCGGCTCGACGATTGGCATTAAAGAGAAACACGAATGCGTACTGCAGAAATACGTAAAAAATCATTTCGGTTTTCTGGCATTCAAATCGGAAATGGGGAAATTCATTTTACATGCCGCTTCCATTGTCTTTATTTCGCCACGCCCGCATGCGCAATGTTTGACTGCCTTACGTTCCGGGATGTCCAGGGCCAGCTGGTCCCTCGCTCGAGGAGAAATATATGACTGTTTCCTCCTGCTGTACGAACATTTTCACTGTTCCCTGCCGTGACGAGATAGCTGACCGCGGTGGCAAATGTCAGATACCGCAATCAGCTTTGTCGAATCCACACCTCCGTTGTGTCCAGTTGGTCATTTTTGTCTGCGACGGACACCCGTTCGAACGCTATTGCGCTTCGAAGCATACTAAGCTGGTCCAGAAGGAGACAGCGAAACACCGCAAAGATTCATTTACCAAAGGACTACAACCCGGATTAACCCCACGCTCAAGTTTGAGTCACGACTTCATCAAGAACTTACTTGACCCGTGAGCTAGTGTAAGAAAAGCGTATTGTTGAAAAAAGCCCGCTTAGTACTCGACGCTACGCCATTCCCGGTAACTTGCTGGACCAAGATCTTGAGTGCGAGGACAGTTGCGGTTGATATTGCCACTCCATTGGTCTATGTTCTGGTGACTGGCAATACCTTTGAGGGTTCTGGCATCATGCTGTGAATCTCTCGATGAAGGTTTGGTGGCTTTTGACGGACGAGCAGGTTGCAGCCAGAGACGTTTCCACACCGAGACACTAAAGGTCCCAAGACAGTGTGGTCGAGATACTAGATCGTTCCTAGCTACTTCAGTACGGAGGGAACTAGGTTATTAAGGAGTTCGCTCCTAGCCACACACTGGCCATAGGTTGCACACACTGGCCATAGGTTGCACACACTGGCCATAGGTGGCTCCTTTTGGCCCATTAGCTTCTTTCCTCGATAAGACTATCCAAGAGCTCCAGGCAGGAGAAGCCAAGAAAAGGTGGAAGGAGAAAGTGCCTGTATGGACCACCGAGGGAACCCAAGATGTAGACCCAGAGAGTTGGAGCTACCAACGAGAACATGCCTAGTGATTTTTGCCACCCCCTTATATCCAGGTCGTTTGTCTGAAGGATACTTTTCACTTGAGGCCATCTTCGTAGGTCGTGCAGCTCAAGCTTGGCACGACGAACTCCAGGTAAGTCGGACCAGAAATTCAAGTTTTCACATGACAGAAAGTCGAACGGTTCAGAACGACTCTCGCTGCTATGACTTAAGAAGACGTTACCAAGCTGCCTTTTGACGAGGACAGGACTACCTCTATGTTTGTACAGGGTTGGACTGAGCAGCGGCCGTCCATGACCCTGGATAGTCAACCTCTGCGAGTTTCTCGCGCCCCAGATCAAAGTTTGATAGCCCGAGGCACCACACAGTAGATTGCAAGAAGCTTCAGCTACCTTGACATCTCATGCCAAAAACTTATAAAAACACATGCTCGCCGCCAAACCCTTCACTTGCTCTCCAACTTCTTTCTCCGATACAACTTTCACCCAAACATTACTTGTATGATTTCAACGACGACAACAACTACTAATATAACTACAACACTACAATGAAGTTCGCCTTCGCAGCCACGCTGTTGCTGACCGCAATTTCGGGCGTCGCGGCCGTTGGGTGGCCGTCAAACGCTGGCTACTATCACGGAGCAGAAGGCATCGTGCCCCCGGGACCCTGGGATGAGCCCGACGCCCGATCCAAGTGCAAGTATAGTAGGGGGAGACAAGTCGGGGGTGGACGGCGGTCGCGTTTCCATATCCGGATCAAGGACTTCAAAGGCGACGCCCCCTCCTTCTGCCATAGATTTTGGAATGACCTGAGAAAATGGGGTCTTATGTAAGTATTTCTTTTCCATCAAAAGCCCCATCCCGTCCTTTACATGGACATCGCTAACACGGATGGCACAGTTGCACGCCCAACTCGTTTGAGACCTGGAAGCCTTTCTGTGGCATGGAGGAGGGCGACCTTGCCTGGAGGTTCGAGAACAGCATTAGGTGTAACGAGGGCATGGTCGCATCCACCTTTTGGGAGGTGACCAAGAACGAGTGGGGAGGCATCCTCTGCAGAGACTACGCCGTCGATGAACAAGACGGCGCTTGTGCACACTGCCCCCTCATGAGCGAGCCTTTCTGGGCCCACACCATCTACGACAAGTTCAAGGATGACAAGAAGGATGACAAGAAGGATGACAAGAAGGATGACAAGAAGGATGACAAGAAGGATGACAAGAAGGATGACAAGAAGGATGCCAAGAAGAATTACGAGATGGATGCCAAGAAGAGTGACGAGAAGAACGACGAGAAGAATGGCAAGCCTGATGACGACTCCGCCGACCACCTCGACGAGGACTTATTTGACGACTCCGTCGACGACCTCGACGAAGACTTCTTTGACGAAGACCTCTTTGACGAAGACCTCTTTGACGAAAACCTCTTTGACGAAGACCTCTTTGGCGAAGACCTCTTTGGCGAAGACCTTTTTGGCGAAGACCTCTTTGACGACTCCGCCAACGACGTCGACGGAGACTTATCTGACGCCTTCGTCAACCTTGACGAGGATGACGAGAAGGAACACGAGGGCCTTATTGGCAAGGAATTCGAAGCCTGATCATCGCCCAAGTAGCTCACGGGAAAGCAAGTTTGACAATGCTGCATTTAGGTCAAGTCGGTAGCAGTCAGTGAGGGTAATATTCTTTAGGCTCAGTTTCATGTTTCTTTGGGAGTTTTGCTAGCTATGTAGTGTTAGTTAGCCATCCTGGCAGTGTTAGTCAACTATCTGGGCAATGTCTACACACATGTGTAAGCTGTATATCCCATACTGAAGCGGCTATGCTTCCTGTGTGTTCGCTTTCTTCGTCGCTGTCGCTGTCGTCGTTGCTACTAATTCCTATGTTATCGTCGTCTATCGTCGTCGTCTATCGACGTTATTACTGCCCCTGTTGTTGTCTCTACTGCTGTCGTTCTTGTGGAAGTATTGCGTGTGCTACGAACCTCTGCTCTGAACCATCAAGTTCCCTTTATCTTAATCACAAGAGCACTTTTTCGTAGCGCAGGTTTTTCAGACGAGAGCCTTGCTCGGAGTGTCCGCACATTAATACGAAAGAGCAATAACAACTGTACTAGGTGGATTCGAAGCAGTCCTCCTACAGTTTGTCCACGTCAATTGCCACGTACACCACGCATCGCCCATCGCACGCGCACCTTGAGAACTCAACCCGACCCAGACAACCCTCCGCCCTTCCCTCCTATCACCTTTTCGTCCCTATACAGCACTCTCAAACGAACCGCGCTTGACAAGAATCTGCCAAACTTTCAAGCCCGGGGGATCGCCTGCTTCATCGCCGCCGAGCACTTTTCCAAATCGTCCGTTCCGAACTGAGACTTGCAGACCCTGATGATCTCTGCTTTCTGCACGCCCGGCGGCGGCGTTAGATAAACCGCAGGCGGCAGCGGGACGACGGTGTACGTTGGTTTGGGCAGCCCAGCGGCGATTTGCCGCTGCCTCTGCTGCTCTGTGGGCGGTCCGGGACCGAAGAGGTTTTCTAGCCCGACGCCGGCGAGGAGGAAGGAAGGTCGCATTGTCGAATGAGCCGTGGGGTTTTGTGTTGTTTTCTTTGGATGAGACGGCGTTTGGCGGGCTATGACGAGGAATCTCTCTATGGCGGTGGTTCAAGAATTGGGGGGTGAGAACTTTTGTGAAAGCCTGGTGCCAGGATGTATCGTAGAAGATCAGCACGCAGATCATGCCGTGCGAGACGTGATCCAACGACATACGGGTGCGGTCTTCTTATACTCGGCATCTACACGCGTAACCCCTCTCTCGATGACGAAGCCGACGACCGCAGGGCTGGGCCGAGAAGGGCTGCGGTAGACACGACCACCGTCTGCGTCTGTCCGGACAAAGTAGCAGACTTTGGGATTATCGAAAGACTAAAACCCGAGAGACGTCGGTACATTCATTCTTCCCCCGCGTGGTCTGCTTGCGATGCGCGAGGGCTATTGGACGTGGCGGAGATGCATCACGCAGGCGTAGATAGTTCCCTCTTCTCCGTCCCCCTCGGACACTACCTTGGTTGGGTCGAGATGCAGGCGGGTGTTGCTTCCGAGTCTTACTCATCCTGCAGATTTGGAAGAACAAACAGCAATGCTGATGACACTGCCCTCACCTTTCGCAAATCCCCCCTTTGATGTGGAACATGTAACGGAAAGAAGACCCAATTTGATGGTCTCGTCAACAGCTGATGGCAGCGAAAGACACAGCACCCCAACGGGAAGTAATCACAATTCAATCTCATTCTACGTGTCGCACGCGGCACTCGAACAGTGACCCCCGTTCGCCAAGCCACAGCGAACTCAGAAAAACAACCTTGTCGACTGCAGTCGGGCCACATGACCAAAGCCACCAAGCCAGAGCGACAGGCAGCAGTCTTTTTAAGGCCATTTCCATGTCATCAAGCTCTCTGTTGTCTATCAGGATTGTGACTATTGCAACTCGACGTGAAAACGGGCGCATAAGCGATAGAAAACTCGCCGCATAGCTAGTTCGAAAAGGGGAGAGGAAAACAAGAACGCCTACAAATCTCAGAGGACCTATCTTGAGAAGGACGAGAAAAGAACTACACGATGAGATTCTCATTCATCTTGGCCGTCGCCGTCGCTCTAGGAGGAGAAGCTGCCGCAAAGCCGTCAAAACGCCCTCCCCTCTCCCCCGATTCACCCTACTTGACAGGGAATGGATGTCCGCAAGGTTGGAGAAATTACGGTGTGAGTGCAGCCTCCATATTCCCGCTAAGCCGTATATATGCTTCTAACAAGGCCGGATACATGTAGCTTTGTAATGGAGATTCGTGCCAGTGGGCAAACGGGAGGAATTACAGGTGCAGTCACGGATCCTGTGTAAGCCTTCTATCTCTCTCACCCCATTGCGAATTAGTCATTTTGCTTCCAAAGAAACCAAAGGGGAACCCTTTACTGATGTCAATACGTTGGTTTAGGTTGGCAAGGGAGGTGGTGACGGCGCTTGTTGTGGGTGGCCGGAAATAACTTGGGAGGGTGGAGCAACATGCCCCAACGGAGGTTGGTGATCTCGGGTGTCTGCCAGGGTGTATTCCAGACCGGCCTATCAGGCGTACTTTGGGAACCGGCGACGGAGCGGAGCATGTCCCCGTAATTTAGTGCTCCGGGTGTGGGGCGAGAAGGCCGAAGCCGATGGCAGTATGTAGTCCTTCCAGGTCGCACGACTCACCATCGGCTAAGTCAGGTATGACCATCACCAGCTTTCCATGTTGACCCGTCGCGGGGTCTCACTTAGCAGTACAAGTTCGAGGCATAAAAGAGGTATCTCAGTTTATATCATCCGATGCGTGGCTCTAGGTATAAAAACATGAAGTTGCCAATCCGTGAAACCCTCTCGCCCTCTGCGTACAAGGGGACCAGTATATCCGGCGCTCACCCAGGTCTTTCAAAGACGCCGCTCTAGAACGCTTGGAAGTAGAAAGCTCGTCCCTCCCAACGTATCTGGAGAAGATCCAGGTGGTGGCCGCGCGCTGGGGTAAAATAAAACAAACCCAGATCATGCTCGTAATTCGAGAACCGTTGCTCCTCCGTTAAAACATCATCATCTTCGGCGTCTACAGCCTGACGCATAAGCCACCATTACTCAGCGCATTAGCTGGGATATCGCTCGCAGATCAGACATCCCGAGGGTGCCTCTGATCCAAGAGAACAGACTTGCGCAATACAGCCGTTCAACCCCATTATGTTCCTTGTTCAACTGGCCAAAAAGACAGACAACCGCCGCATAAGGACCGATATCAAGGTCTGGTATCAAGCAAAATTCGTAAACAGCGCAGAAAGCATGGCCCGATCCTCAAATCGAACTCCGACCCGAGAGTGGGGAGAGAGTGTGTACCCCACCGCTGATTCTATAAGTCGCAAGAAAACGCTGAAATTCAAATGTGGCGCATTCCGTGTGATGCCATGCGAGCGGTCCATCACAGGGCCTTACAAACTCATCGTGAGCCACTCCCATTCTTGAGGACCGGATGCCGTACCGCCAGGGTTCATCATCGGCCCATTTTGTCCGCCTGGCATTCCCATCATGCCCGCGCCCATCATGGGACGCTGGGTCATGCCGAGACCGTTGGCCAAACCCAGGGAGCCTGTTGTTGGCATAGGCGTAAAACCAGTGGACCCGAGAGATTTCGCAGCCTCGTTTGAACCCGTCGAGTTTTCGGGGCTGTCGACTTCCATGCCAGAGAGCACATCGCTACCAGCACTCTTGCTGTGGCGGCGCTGACGCTTAGATGATCCGGAGGAGGACGAATTGCCACTGTTCCGGGGGAGAGAGGCGGCGCCAGGGCCCGGTGTGTTCTTTGGCGGCGCGGCGGCAATCGGCACCACGCCCTTGCCACCAGCAGCCGCGCCGGTAGACGAGCCCGTTCCGTAGCTGGTGGGCGTACTACCAGCAGTGTTGCCTCCGGATGCGGCTCCACTTGCGGGACTCTCGCCTTCGTTCGCACTGCCAGCGCGGGCAGCAGCAGGTGGTGTAGTGGCGGTGTTGACGGGTGTAGAGGAGATGGCCAGGGTCGAGTTCTTCCGTGAGCCAACCCCCGAATTGGCGGCGTTCTTCTTCGACCTCGTGCTTGTGCCGCCAACCGGCAGGCTTGCTCCCGAGCCACGATTCCTCTTTTTGATAACATCCGTCTTCAAACTCAGAGGTCGCACCACACCGTGGAGTTTCAAGAACAGACCACAGGCATTGCAAAGGGGCTGGCCTTCAGGGTTTCGTCTCCACAAGGGCGTTGTTTGGGTGAAGCAGTTTGTGCAAGTCGTCGGCGTGTTTCCCTCTCCCTGGTTGCCCGCTGCAGCCTGCAAGTTCGTTGTCGAGCCAGACTTAGAGCCAGGCGGCGACGAAGGTCGGCTCGGAGCCACGGATGAATAGCCAGAGACGGTGCCGTTGTTTTCGGGGGGTGAATTCGGTGTCGACTGTGCCATGCGGTCGAAGGGGTTTCCATTCCTTCCCAAGTGTCCTGCAGGAGTTGACGCAGTGCGCGGAACTTTGCTGCCTCTTCTATCTGACCCTTGACGAAAAGACTGCGACTGAGATCGCGGCAAGTTGCCGCCTTCCCAGTCGTTGTTGTCGACGTAGTCTGTCGTGGTGCCGCCGATGGTAACTTGTTTGCGAGGCGGCCCGCCCGGGTAGCGTGCAGCCTGCGTGCTATACTGCCCTGGCAGAGAAGGGTCCCAGCCTAGCGAGCTGCCGTCGTCCATGGGTCCAGGAGAAAAGTCTTGGTTCATGACCATGTTGCGATCGGCGAATGCACCACCATCCTCCTCGTCCGAGTCGGCACCAAAACTGAACATGCCCTCATTCGGCAGGGACATGCCAGGTGAGCGGACCGAATGATCTTGCTGGAAAACTTGCGTCGGATCAATGTGCCCAAAAGGACTGGTCGCACTGCTGAAGGCGGATACAGACTCCGTAGTAGGAGCAGATGCAGGGAACATGGGGTTCCCGTTCGTGTTGTTGTACATGAACTGCTGGTTCATTTGGCTTCCCATGTTCTGGGAGCCCGGGCGGAAGTTTTGCGACCTCTGGCCGCGCATATCCATCGATCCAAAGTAGAAGTTGTCGTTATCGGGCATGGGGTGCGGCGTCGATACAGTGGAATGATAAGCCGATCCCGGGGGCGAATAGAAATCTGACGGGTTCAACGAAGAGGGCTGGGCTCCAGAACCATTGTAGACGCTGGAAAAGGGGCCATGGGACACCATGGGCGAGGTGGAAGGGGAGAATGAGAAGTTCTGCTGGAAGGGCCCAGCTGAGGTGATGATAGGGTCGTTCTCGATGTAGGTATCGAGAGGGAAGGGAACTCCCGACTGATGCGGGTTCTGCGTCATGTTGGCTTGATTGGCGTTATCGAGTGAATATTCATGAAGTTCCGAGTCTGCATCCAAGTCATTTGAGTTTGTTGTGTTGCTGTTGACGGCGGGCACATGGGGAGAGAAGTCGGCCGGACGTTTACGGGTCTAAGTGCGGACGGGTCAGCGAAGCCCAAAAAAAGGCACTAACAGTGATATCGGGGGGTGTGGCGATGGGCGCTGGGGGGTGCGCCAGATAGGAAAATGAGATAAAAAAAAAAAAGTGATGGATGGGCGGGAAAAAACATGTGCGTCGCTGAATTGGGTTGCAGCTTTGACAAGGGAAAAGCGGCTCACCCGTCTCTCGTCAATGCTCGTTTTACGGTGATGGCGAGTAATGTAGTTGAATTCATCTTGGGTCTTTTGGTGGTGAGGAGGAAACGGAACCGACTGCGGGACAAAGTGCTGCTGAGCGACCGAGTCTTTGCGCGATTTGATGGGAATGGCGGAGGTGAAGGATGAGTGCATCTGGTTCCTGTCGTCGCTTTGCTTCTGTGGTTGAGGGGAAGGGTTCGTCACAGGCGTCGCAATGTTCTCGGAGAAGATGAAGTCGTCGAGATTCATGGAATCCGGGTGGTTGACGTTTTGCTCTGAAGACTTGCGCAATTGAGCAATGCCACTGGGTGCATTCAAGCCGAACGAAGCGGATGCAGCTGGCGGTGCCGGCGCAGATCGAGCGAGTCTGCATCATCCCACACAGGTTAGCCAGATCTGTCAGCTATGGCCGGCCGTAGTAGTCCTCGTGGCCACGGCATAAATGCAGCAATAGCAGAGCACCACAACAAATAAAAATTGAAGGCGCAAAGGGATATTTCTCACCTCGCCTTCTCCTCCTCCATTTGCTTCTTGCGCAAGTTGAGAGCCATCATTCTCCAGGTCAGGTTCTCCATGCGCTGCTGGTTAGGCAGCATCTGCTTCGTCTTGCTGAAGAACTTCCACACCTGAGTCGCCAGCGGATCCTCCCTCTGCATGTCCTCGGGGCTCTGGTTAGATTCCATGGCTGATGCCTTCTGAAATGGCGGAAAGGCCGAGTTTCGCAAAAAGTCGTCCTGCGCATTCGGATACAGCGCAGCGGAAAGGTCGAGTCTGAGGTCCCTCAGGCCGGCGGGCAGCTCGCTGGGACTGGCTTTGGAATGCGCCTGGGCTTGCGACGTAATGGCAGCAAACGGGTCGTCAGGCCTTCGCGGGAAGCGATAATCGTGTTCTGTTGATGTGGGATTCATTGAGGTGAATGGACTTGACGTCGAGATTGGTGACGATATAGTGGCAGCCATGTGAATAGGTTCTGTCTCTCGTGCTCTCTCTCAAGTGAAGCAGAGGGAAAGAAAAAAAAGCTTCCTTGGGGAGAGGGTAAAGGTTTCGGTTTCGGCGAGTCGAGGGTCACAAGAAAGGAATTTCCCCACGTTCGCTTGGCTGCAACTCTCACTCCCACACTGGTACTGGTCGTCTGTGACTGGGTGGCTTGCTTGTCTCCGACTCGCTCTCTCGCTGGGGCTGGTCGGCAGCAAAAGGTACTCTGTCAAGGTACCTTACCAATTACCTAGGTAGGTTGGCTATGGTGTAAGGCACACGCAGAACAGACACGCAGAGGTTTGGACAGAACAAAACCCGTATTCTGACGGCAGATGGTGTCTCTGGTGCTGTCGGAAAGGTCTCGAAAGGGTTAAGAAAGGAGTTTAGATCAGGAGGAAGGTTTCGATGACTGGGCCGTCTCTTCGATGGCGCTGGGTTTTTGGTTCGGTGCAGCAAGCGTCGAGGGGGAGAACGGGAAGAGACGTTTGTTTGTACTATGACCATGACCCTACAGGTCGGCGGCGGGAGGGATCTCTTGTCGCAGCGAGGGCCGGCGGAATAGTGGGCGGTATTGCGTAGGTAGCGCAGCGCGCGAGAGAGAGACAGAGACGACCTCCACTGAGAGAAGGAGCGCGCGACCAACAGCCGTGAGTGGTGTCGCTTGCTGGGATGCGATGGGACCAGCATCAGTGCCCACCCACGATACGTACTCTTTCTCTTAGCGCAGCGCAGGTAGCGTAGTGGGTGCCGTGCCTCGTGCAGGGTGTGTGCTAGGTGCCAGGTGCTGGGGGGGCAGGAGGGGAGGGGGGAGGGGGGCTGCGTGGTGGGTGAGTGGGAGTTGGAGTTGGAGTGGGAGTCGAAGTGGGCGGGTCGGCGTGGGACGGACGTCGTCGTGGTCGCCCTCTACCTTACAGTGGCTACCTTACCGGACGTGACCCTGGCCATGCAAATGCGGGAGGTGGGTGTGGAGCCCAATCGACCTCTCACCTACCGCGGTAGTACCTACTTTGGTACGAATCCAAGCCTCCCGTGCCTCTCGCTGCACTCTTCTGTCTGTCTCCCCCCCAAAGACCCCCCTCCTTCTCGCACAGAGAGAGAGTTCGTTCGGCTCCTGCACCTCTGAAAGACCAGCCGTTTTACTGGCCAATCTTGCGCTGCTTGTAATGCACCGAAGCAAAATGTGGATCTTGCACCGAAATTATTAAGGTGCTGTTGTAACTATCAGCAAGGTGGTGGGGGAGAACGAGAACTCCTAAGGCCCAAGAGGGGGACCGCCGCTACACATACGCCCGGGCTTTACATTCTCCTCTCTCTCTGCGCCTGGAGTACTATCATCCACGCTCAAGCCGCCGTCCGTCTGTCTGTCATTCGAGATGCCCTCGCAGAATGCCCCATCTTGTCTTCCGTGCCGCTCTGGAGCCTGCCTGCTGCACTCTGTACACGACCTTCCCTCGAGCTGGGTAGAGCGTGCAGCAGTCCAGTTGGGCCCCTCCTCCTCTCTAGGGACCACAGGCACCACTGCATCCCAACGTCTGTCGCTCCGTCAGGGGGCGAGGCCACAGGCAGATCCCAGCGAGAACCGACAGCGGCGGACTGCTCTTCCCGGCTTTCCACCATCACCAGACGGAAGATTGCTTAGCCTCACGATTCGTTGGTGGAAGTAGTTTACTTCACCGTTGTCGGTCCACGAGCTGGGAATACCCCTCTTTGAACCCAAATCCCCAATACCGCTTCTTTTATCCTGATACTCGCCCTCTGTCGGACCCCTCTACCGAGACGAGACGTTAACATGCCCCATCATCGACATCCTTCCTTTCAGGGGAACATCCTCCATGGGGACACCGAGGGGACTGACATCTGATCCGAATACACGCCGCGCCCGGCCCTACATCGCTACATCGCATGCTAACTTGTCCCTGACAGCTTGCTAGCAGTCGGCAGCACGAGCTTCATCCACTCCATCGGACACCATCTCAAGCCACGGCGTCTTCGAACGTCGCGAAGAACAAATCAGACGCATTTGTCAGGCTGACCATCGCACGCCGTAGGCCGACGGAGAACAGGTAAAAATACCGCTCAACCGTACGATGCCCTTTCTGAGAGGGTAGCACCGAGCCGAACTGCTTCAGCGTGGCAGAAACCAGTGCGCCGGGCAGCGGACGTTGAACTGAATTAGAAGAGGTGGGGGCCACTAGAGACCAGAGGCGGCAGCGGCAGACGAATCTTACGCACTCGTCTGTACCGCAGTACTGCCGTTCGGAGTCTGCCCGGCCGGCAGTCTAGCTCGCCGCTACCTTGTCTTCAGTGCAGTCAGTGCCTTGTCTTGTTGCTCCCTCTCCTGCGTCGTCTGCCTCTCCTCCTGGCATGTCAGCCACCCAAGACAGACAAGCGTCATCACCAGCACTGCCCGCCTTGCTGGTCGATTTCTGAGCATCAGCCAACATTTGCCATCGCTTCGGCCGTTCCTCCTGATCAGAGTCGAACAGCACACGACCTTCATCACTTTCCCGTGTGTCTGATCCGCTCTGCGTGACCGAGACTCCAGACCAGCGTGACAACGTCCGAATCTACGTTCGGCGATGCGACCGTTCTTAGTCCAAGGACATCGACTCCGCGCCGCTGGTCCAGAATCCATGGCAGCTAGCTTACATGATCCCGCCCGTCAAGTCAGATTTCAGGGTCCTGTCGGGGCATGGGAGGAAACTTGCAACAAGCAAGGCACGGGCAAAAACCCGCCCCTCAAGTCCCATCTCGGCGGAACTCCACTCCAAAGGACTTCGACTTTGCGCTAATGAAGCATGGGTGAGGAGTAAATCGAGGCACCACTGCACCAGCTGCGCGCCGGGCGGCGGTCCCTGATGGCGGTACAACAGTGTGTAGCAGTCCTCAACTTCTGGCAGCGGCCTGGCAGCGCCTGCCCGCGTGTCCAACGACGTCGTTGGTGGGACTGGTTCTGACTCCAGGGCCAGAGCCAAGCCGTCGCTCTTGAGAGTTTTGGTTGACCGAAGCCGTTCATTCGATAGATCATGGACGGCATCTCAGTCAAGAGACACAGACCTGGCATCTGAATCCGTCGTCGGTTCATCAGATCTTTCCCCATCCGTTTGCCTCCTTGAGCCCCTCTCCAATACCCGCATCCATCATCCACATTGATCTCGGAAATACGTGGCTATTCCTGTTGCTTGCGCATGTTGAACGCGCATTCCAAACACGGGGCCATTTCTCGTCAATGAGATCTGCTGTATTCTTAGGCTGTCGTACCCGTCCATGTCAGGCGGAGCCCCATGGAGACGACCGACTGGGCCACATGTTGCTGGGAGTAATTGGTCCAGGCCCCTGGTGCGCCACTGCCTGGCCTTCTTCAGTGCAGACCAAGCAGGGGGAGCTGAGAGCTTGTATTCGTACGCGGCTCGCTGCTGCCGCGGTACATTTTGCGCTTCCGGCTGCCATTGGGGGCCTTCTTCATGACAGTGTGCGGCAGGCCCTTAATAAAGTACCGGTTCGTGGCCAGGTTTGGACAAGCTAATCCCAGAGTGTCGGTGGCTAGTGAAGAGAGTTGCGCCCGCTGGGGCGGGTTGCTTTGCTGATGGTAATGAGCAGGCATGACGGCTTCAAGGAACTGCAGGCTGGAGGCTTCGTGCTCATCACGGATCTGTTGCTTGATTGATCCATGGGCATCCACCCAGAAGCAAGCGAGAATTCGGGCGCATTTGGCCGTGGAAAGCGTGGCTTGAGACCGGCTCGAACCCCACCAACTTTCACCTGCTTCTTCCCTGGCCGGTGCGCCTGTATGATGCCGCCAATCAGGGGTGCCGCATGCAATAGTCTCGAACAGGTTGGGGTCCAAGGTACTGCGGCTGTACAAGATCGGAGACGCCAGTTGGGTAGGTGAAACTCTAGAGATGTGCGTGTATTGGCGAGAATGAACCCCGGACAGCCATCCCACGCTGCAGGTCTGACCAGTAGCTTCCGTTAAATGAAAGTAATAATTCGTCCATGTCTGATTGTTGTCAAGCTCTTAATTAAGTGAGGTCGATCTTGGGGAGCGTATTCGTAGAGCACTCCAAGTAGACGCCAGTGGCCATATGACGAAGCTTGAGTGGAGTTCGCACGTGTGGCAGACCAAGGACATAACAGCCAGCCTCTTCTTCCCCTCACTCCGGGCTTGAGCGGAAAGACGGAATGAATGGAGACGTTGTTGATGGGGCTGGTCAGCCTTAGGCTTGGAGATTTGGAGATGGCGGGATATATTTCAGCCTGTCGCTGGCTCTGCTTTATGGTGTACTCGTGAACCCGCACGGCTATCGACCCAGCTTCCAGCCGGGTTTGGTCCCCCACGCGGCAACGTCTGAGGGTTGTGGTGTCGTCGTCCGATGGTAGGCTGGTGTAAGGAGTCGCCCAAATGCACGGACGAGACATGAGAGAATGCAATACTGAGGTGAGAAGGTGAATGGTCAGCTCGCGGTGCGTAGTAATTTTAGGCTAAAGAGAGCCGCGCGAGCTGTGTGGGATATCGATGCACCGTTGGGCGCACCCTTCCCGCCCGAACATGGTTTCGACATGGCTGCGTCGACTTTTCATCTCCAAGAAGGAGGCAGGCTGGCAGATGCAAAGCTGCGTCAAGAAGCGACGGAAGAACACCGACGACTCCTCTTCTGAAGGCTGGAGGAAGGTGCCTCGAAGCTCAAGCTTCGAAGCTGCGCCGTGTGTTGTGGTTTGTTGTGCTCTGGTGCGCTGTGCTGTGACGGAGCAACAATGGCAATCGGATGCAGGTTGATGCAGCTCGCGAGACTCGGCCGGCATTAAGGGACGAGGGAAAGCGTCAGCATGCAGCAGACGGAACGAGATGCAGCAACCAAGCCTGCAGACTCACCAGAGGTCTGCAGAAGAGTGCAGCCAGCGTTGCAAAGAGGCCCGGCTGGAAGGTGAGTTGACAGCCGTTGGGCGAGTTAGAGATGTTCCCGCCAGGCAGGTATGGAATACCGCGAAATGGGGTGGATGCACATGTAACGGGCAGGTACCCGAGACCGAACAGGCAGGGGAAGTTGAGCACTTGCAGGAAAGAGCACAGGGAAGTGACAGGGAAGCCATGTTGGAGACCCCCACACGACAACCACAAATGGCAGCGACGGACGCGGCGACAAAGGGAAGGGAAAGAGCAGGGCGGCGGCAGCAGCAGGAGCAGGGCACCTCAGCCGGGCGCGCGCGGGCAGGAACGGGAACGGGCAGGCACCACGGAGGAAGTAACGGCCCTGCCCAAGCTGGCCAGCCCATCGCCATTGCCATCGACATCGACACATCGACAGCGGCCTGACATGATATTGCGGATACAGAGTACACCTACCTAGTTATCGACGGCGAGGTCGTCGGGGCAGTTCCTCCACTGCCACCACCACCAACAACAGCAACACCGGTCAGGTCGTGACCTTCTTTTTCCCTCTCCAACGATGGGCATGAACATCACCGGCAGTGGGTCTCGGCGCTCCTTCGCGGCATTCTCCAGACTCGAACTCCATTCACTCACACAGCGATGCTCTTCTCCAGTCTCCAGTCTCCAGTGCGGCGGCCCCATTTCTCCTCTCCAGCGCCTCACTTCGCTCCCCTACTCCTCCTCCTACCTCCACCAACGAGATGGGACTGTTTACTCCAGCAACCTGCCGCAGATACTCACTTCATCCGAAACCTGCTTCCCCTCCACGGCCTTCCTTGTCTCTTTTACCGAAAGCTATCCTGTCATCCAGACGCATTTCCCGCTATTTTCCCTTGGCCGCCAGTACACTTCCCATGATATCGATATCGATATCGAGCTTTCTGCCTGCCCACCTACCTCCATTACTACGGAGCATCTCCACTTCCAACCAAACACGACACTGGATCTCGCTCGGATGAGGCACCCTGCCTCAGACCACAAACAACTTTCCGCGGTTCGTCTCGAACACGGCCGCCGCTATTCTGCCCGTCTAAAAGCCGTCCGGAGCATCTCCGCGACCCAAGCATTCAACTTCCAAGCCCTCATCGGATTTCTACAGTACGACCTTGAATCGTTGAATGACGAGTATCAAAGGTTGCTCCGCACGTTATTTGGTTCATCCCTGCCACCGTTAAGTCAATTCTGAATAAATCACCAAAAATCACGGTCCAACCGGTCCTTCTCTCCAATTGCGAGTCATTTTAGAGGCACCCATGACTCCCTTCACAGGGCAGACAGGGCGGGCCAGCCACTGGCAGCCAGCACTCACTCGTTTCCTCGTGGCAGAGGGTCCTTAAACGGGCATCTTCCTGGCCTTCAGCTTTCGCCTGGCGGGCGTTTTGCGACAAGGGTGGCCATCGGAGAATTGTCGTGTTACGACTCAAGTTGCTGGGTCTTGCCGAACCAAAATAAACTCAACACAACACGACTTTGCTGTCGGTATAGGACTTGATTTCTGCGCTTCGGTCGCTTTCCCAACCACAGACTCTCTTAATTCGGTAAGCCGGAACACACGCCAACCAACAATGGGACGTATCACCTCCAGTAGCCATAGCGCCTACCTCCGTCCATGGATTGTGACACAGAGCTCTTCACCTGCTGCTACCCTGTCTGTCTTGTTGTTGCACAGGCATCTCGCAAATGCTGGGCTAGTCCGATGGATCTCCATTTCGCATCAACCTCGGCAGCGAGCCAGGTCCCATCCAAAGGCTTCAATGCCTACCGAGTATGACGCTAACACGTCAAGGATGAGAGAGACGTCAGCCGCCAGCGACATCGAGGGGCCTTGTCAAATTGATCCCGCCGGGCATCAAGCTCCGTGGTAGGCTCGCATCAACTCGGACTTGCAACTCACAGCTGTCGGTACATGCACTCCTCTGCGATGCAAGTTGCATCATGTGTGGAAGTGTTTCACTAGACACGAATGTCCATTTTTACAGCCTCTAACTTCGCGATACTGCGATCAAGCAAACTCATGACGAAATTCTGTTTGTCCGCCGTCGAATTGAAGACACCCCAGCCCGACTGAACCAGTAGAGACCCTTGTTCTCGACGCAGGGTGCGCATATCGGCCCCGTCTCCCATGGACCGATCCACGACTGCGGCAGCGGCGCACAGGGCTTTTGCATCCGACTGCGCAGACTATTCTGGACTCGGTTCAACTCGCATCACAGTGGAACTACCTAGGCCTTCAGGCTGCCGACTGAGAGAGCTCACGAACACAATATCAACGCTGCAACAGGATATCACGGAACCATGAACCGGAGGCTAAGATGAATCTACTCCTCTTCCCGAGTCCCGGTGCCCCGGCTGCAGCGTGAATTATCGACATCTGGACGGAGACCTGTTCCATGCGTGCACGTCCAGCCGCTGCGGCCGACCTACCGCACGTTTTTAGAGAGTCCAGGGTCCGACGAAAATGGAGCGGAACGAAAGACGCCTCCCAACCTCCATGATCGGAGACTGCAAGACATGCCCAGCGTCGGGCTTCACCAGAGCCCTAGATGGCTTACGGAGCCAGAGCACCCTTCCGGAAACACTTCTTGACATCCAGAGCGTTGTTGGTCCTGGCATGGTTTCGAAGGGCCCAGTGAGCTTTGTCCACCGCTAATCTCAATGTACTGCACAGCACGTAACTACGACGGGAGCCAGCATCGCATGTGATCCATTTGGAGTAACATGGAGCCCTCGATCGAAGCATTCGACATGTCAACGGTGCTACGGCTGACGTCGTGGTCTAGAACGTTCCCGGTGTCTGTGTGATGGTCTCATTACAGCAGCGCCCGTTTCTACCGATGGGGATTTGCAGGTTGATGATGTGCATGAACAGCTTCAATGAGTTATGTCGGCTTGGGGCCCCACGGCTACGACACGACAACAGTGCATGGCAGCCGCATGGCAGGCATTGCGCTGTCGGACACCAGATGAATGTTGTTGAGTTCTACCTGCATCTGCCGTTGCCTTTCCTGCCTACTCGCCATATGCGACACCAACAGCACCTTGTTGTTGAAGAGAGTCGGTAGAAGTGCATCCTGCCGCTCAACTGAGGACAGATACGGAAGCTGAGAGTGTGCCCCTGCTAGACTGCTTCTGCATCTGGCCGGTATCGCAGCGAAACTCGCGGGTTTGAAAAAAACCGCAGACTCACCAGCAAGCGCTTGTATGCAAGTACGAATCCAGAGCCATCGAGCCTTGTCAGCCTTCTCGAGTAAATGTCGGAGCTGGGCCGGTACCCCTCCATTGACACTGGCGGCGTCTACTTCGCGAGTTTATTGTGGATGGCGGTGAGTCGGGAGTGGGCTCCAAGTTCCCGGCAACGCCACCGTTGTTCGTCAAAGAACATCGGCCATCCTGGAGAATCGGCATGAGTCGCTGCGCTAGGATGACAAGTGGTCCATGACTTGCTTCCCTGCCTGCCTGCACGAATACCTCCCAATCGAGAGTGCAGAATTGGTCGTTTCGGACAAGAACAAGTCAACCGCCGCCCATTGGCTTGGGTCGGTGTCCCTTATCGAGTTCCCCCCCACCTGGGTATTTTAGGGCCCGGCAATCTCGGTCAAATTGCGTGCCCCCCACCGTCATCCAGCTGCGGGACTTGTCGTGTGCCCTCCGGCGTCGTCGCTGATCCAAGAAACCAACCAAACGCTGCTGAATGGTCATCTAAAAGGCTCAAAGACTCGCGGTTTTCGGCCGACAATCGCCTGTGATGTTTGTGCGGGTTATTTCGTGCCCTGGCCCATGAGCCTTTGATATATCCACCTCTTGTCCTACCGACGATGTCACCGTTATTCAGGGTCCGTCGGGGCGAGGTCGGCCGACGCGCAAAACGGCCGCTGATCCAACGTCGGATATAAACCACCATGGATTTCGGAGCAACGCAAAGCGAGGGCGTACGTGGTCGATCACACCTGAAAAGGGGTGCTTCCGCCGTGAAACCCTCAACTGTGGTCAGGCATGAACTTGCCCCGCGTGGGGGTCCGGATCGATTCTGTGTTCACTTTGGCTGCGCCTGCCCAGGCAGGGAGCATGCCAGCATGCCACTTAACGCCTTTGCCATGGCGGGTGGTTGGATGATCAACACCACATCACCAGTTCGCTTTGGCCGGGTGAAGTCATGGCCTCCATTTGTTGTAGCCACGAGCCCGTCCACCATGACGCTTCCCGGGTCGCTCTCGGGAAGAAGGACGGCAGTGGTCTTGTGACATATGCCGATGCCTCGGGAAATATTACCAGTCTGGTGTCCAAAAAAGCTGTCTGGATAGTGTTGCGTCGTCGAAATCTCCGAGGTCATCCTGGCATCGTTCGTCGACACAGAGTTGTGTCGAGCATGTCGAGCATGTCGAATTGTCGAAATTGACGTCGAATGGTCCGCTACCTCACAAGTCTGGAGAGAAAGGGAAGACAGCTTGACTTATAAGCTGCTCTTATCTTTGGTGCCGATTCTCCCAAGACGAAGGCTGAGCCAAAGACTTGCTCGAATAGGGCAGCTGATTCTTTGCACCATTTTCCCAGCAAATTAGCAATGCGATGCCGCCAGAGATCGGCTCCCGTGCGCAATCGTGTCCCTGTCGGTATCGGTGCTATCTCTCTCTATCTTGGCTCTATCTTTCCCTCGGACCTGCCCTATCGGCTGGTGAACGCCCACCACAAGGTAAGGAGAGGCACCAGGGAATCACTGATTCGAGCGTTATTGTATTTTGCGTTGCTATCATCCCATGTACTTGGAACACCTGCAGCAAATCTCGCTGCCTCCTCTTATCCGTGCCATGCCGCCTGTGGCAGCTGCTCTCGTGACACCCTTGTCGTTTGTCGACCGTTTGCTGCAAGGAGGGTTCAGCCGTAAGGCCTGTAGCAACGACCTTCCTCGAAAATCTCTGCGCGCTGCTGCGATGCGGACATGCAGGTTAGCACTATACTGCAGGTCACGGCTCTTTATCTTTGCTGCCCGTCGCGTGGGATTTGTGCGTGTGTTTGTTTCAAAAGACGACCTTCTTATCTAGAAGATGGGCGGTCTGGGCGGGAACGAGGGGGCCCGTTATCTACGATTCCCCCCTTTCTCCAGACTTTCCCCGGAATTCGATGCCGCCAGTCGGAATGGTGCCTTCTAGATAAAGATACCACCGTCCTGTTGGAATCTGAGTCGTCGTGCTTGTCCCTTCTTTCTTTGCCCGGTGATATGGTTGTTCGCTCCCGGCATTGGCGGATGCGCGAGCTACTATGTACTTGTGAACCCTCCTCCAAAGACGTGGCTGTTCGGAAACACCCAACGCCTTGTCATATAACTTCCGAAACGATGACCGATAACCGAGCGACGAGAACCCAGGCCGATGCTTCATACGGTGATGATGAGAATGTATAGGGAGGGAAGACGTCAGAGCAGCAAAGGCTTATGAGCTACACGAGACATATGCCGGTTGTCGAGACAAAGCATCGTCGTCCCACCGAGGGATGCTCGGGCTGAGCTGCGCGAGACATGGTCGGAACTTCCGTTCCGAGTCCTTTCCGCGGCATGCTCTATAAGTCCGCGGACCTGCCCAGTCCAACGCTCTAGGCTATGAAAAGCTCAGGTCATCGACGACATTGAGGTCATGTAACGAAGGACACTTGGACTGTCCTATGTTGCATGCCCAACGTCTCCAGGTACGATGTCAGCCTCAACGGCGCATCTTTGTGTTATCGGGACCGAGTATGCTCCAAGCTTCGGCATACAGCTGGCGGTTCTGGCGGGTGTGGGATGAGCGAAGTCCTTTCCAATTCGATATTGGATCCGAAGAAAAGACCGACGAGAACGAGGAGGAAGAAGTGTAGTCGCTGCACTTCATCGACGAATATTCTGTTCCATGACCCAACTCTGGCTGGCTTCCCACCCTGACATGTCTCGCCTCTGTCGAACGACGAAAACCCCAAACGAAGTAACGATATGCCGGCCTATACGAGAAAGGAAGACACGGTTCGGATTTGTGTGGTGGGGGGTTTGTTATGTGGTGGGATATATGCTAATACCGCCATATTCGACGTTGAAAGGCTGTTTGAGCCCAGCAGGTTTTGTCTACAGGACCTTGTTCACACGCCTACTCGGATGTGGCTCTGGTGACGACAGACGGCTTGGAGAGGTGTGCGATCATGTCTGAACGTACGTAGACAACCCCACGATGTTCCCATGCGCATACCGGCCAGTGTTATACGGGCAACACGTTCGTGACGAAAACCTTGCTGGGGTATAGCCAACATGACTGCATCTCTCGTTCACTCGTGTTCAAAAATAGGAAGAGCTTGCCGTCCAAGCCCTGTCAATCAACCCTTCATTCTGCGTGGAAAGGCTATCGATGTCAGTCAGGGACAAACAACTAGACTAGCAGTGCGAAAACAGACTATGAAAAGAGGAAATAACCAGTGTGATGTTCCATCGCCCATCGGGGACCGAACATCACTTCAGCGCATAACGGCAAACTGAATAAACGCATCGCGACTGTGGAAGACAAGTCAGTTGGGACATTGTGAGAAACAGACATCCAGGAGTACCAAACCTCCTTTGCACTCTTCAATGCTATGTTCCATACTCTGGGTAGACATGTGATATTCATGGTGACAAAATGACATCGTCATCGATCCGTTTTTCAATAAACATAACGGCCAAGTAATTACTGAAGGTGGGTGTTGGAGGGCCTCAATTTCGGATGCATATTCAGCGTTGACATGCCGGGGCCACTCGGCATGAGATTTATCTCCAGTGTCAGACAGCAGCATCATTATTCCCTCTTCCCAAGTTCTTGCCATGTTAACTAATGTCTTTGCATAACACACTTAGCTAGTGGAGCTTCTTCCATCGATGACTTTGTGGTGTTCAACCTGCCATCCCAAATGAACGCTGGCGGGTGGTGGACGCCGGATTCAACCATGGACCATAGCGTGACATCGCTCGAACTCACTCCGAGTATCTTTCTCAGAGTACCTCAACACTAATGGTGTGCTGTTTGAGTTGGTTGTAACTGGTCCTCGGCCAGGATAGTGTCAGAGTATGTCTACAAGAGGGAAGGGTTCTATTTATGACCTGCTTGCAACCCGAAACATCTCAATACCATACAGGTTCAATCCAGATTCGAGCTGCCCGTATGACATCCTTGGCACCATTGCCAATGGTGAAATGAGAGAAGAGATGGCGCGCCTATAGAGGCGAGAAGCCACACTTTGGAATCCCCATGAACATTGCTCTAGTCGTCACATATCACATATCACGTAAAAATCTAGCAGATTAAGTAGAAACATCTCTATTCCATCATCGTATCCGGCCGTGACTATTCTAAAGTTATCGTAATGAGTGTCATAGTCTCCATTCATGGAGCGTCTTCGTCAACTAATCGTTACACAAGGTATCCAGCCTTATTAATCTCCGCCATGCCCAAAACCAACTCCGGGTCATTACAAAGGAATGAAGTAGAAAGTAAAAGATATAAACCTAATCCCCCAAAAGCCGGATCCCTTATTTGCTCCGAGACATTTTTATCATGTACCCCAGTTCCCAATTCTTATCATGCGTCCATGCCAAAAAGAAGGAGAAAGAGGATGGGTAAGGTATACAGAGAAGCTGTGTTCAGCTTGGCGTTGCTGGCGGTGAAGCTTCTTACAACAGGCCGACGACGGCGACGGCAGCGCCGAGGCAGGCACCGGCGACCTTGACGCTGCGGTCAATACCAGCAGCGGCGTTGGTAGAGCCGGTCTCCTGAGCGGCGAAGGCACCGGTGAAGGTCGTCATGAGCGTGCTGCTACCGGAGACGGCCTGGGCGACGGTCTGGGGGCCAACAGTGGTGATGACACGGCCGCCCTGGCTGAAGGTTCTGGTGACGGTGTCGGTGTGAGTCTTGTCTGGATAAAGTGTCAGTCTTGTGTCCGGTGCAGCGATGGGAATGAGTGACTTACAAGCCCAGCCGGGGCCCATGCCACCCCAGGCACCGCCCTGAGCCCACCAGCCGTCAACAGGACATCCGGTGACGGTAACAGCAGCGTCGCCGGTCTTGGTGGCGGGACCCCACCAGCCGCCGGTGTAGGTGAAGGTGCTCTTGGTGGCACAGTCGGTGAAGGCGTGGCAAGCGGATGAGGAGACGGAAGACCAGGCAGAGAGAGCGGCGGTCTGGGTAGCGCAGGCGGAGCTGACGCAAGACTTCAGATCAGAGTTCTCCGTGCAGAAGGCAGCGGGAGTGGGGGTAGCTGTTTGCCAGTGGGAAGCGAAGCAAGAAGCCTATTGGAGGTTCGTGTCAGTCAAATTGTACGGTTGAGTTAGAGTTTATCGAAGATGGGATAATATGTGGGAGCAGATGGTCCGGGTGCTGTTCATCCGCTCTTTGCACACCGACCACCACATATCTTGATATAGAAGCGGGACAGAAGAGGAATTGACGGAAAAGAACTTACAGCGCAGATAGCGGCAGGGGATCCGCCGAATCCTCCGAAGCCACCGGCGCCCCAGCCGCCTCCAGCTCCGTAACCGCCAAAGTTGCTCTCGTTGGAGCCGCCCCAGCCTCCGGGTCCGGGGGCAGCGATGGTGACGGCGCTCTGGGCGAGGGCAGCGGCGACGATGGAAGCCTTCATCTTGACTGGTTTTCTAAAGTTGGTTGGAATGGGTTTTGTATGTTTTTCGTGGTTTGAGAAATGCTTTGCAGCAAATAAACTCTTTGACTTTTGATTATTGCTCCTTGGCTTACTGAATAGGAAGGAAGAAAAGGTGGCTGAATGTTGCGACGAAAGGATGCGTCCCGAGATGATGGTTCAAAACAAAACCAAACACAGGATGGCCGAAGATCGAACAAGGCCTTTATATCAAATTCTCACCCTCTGTCAAAACAGAAAGGCTCTCTGTGTCTCTCCTCTGGCGCACGCCGCCGCCTCCTCCGCCCCCTTCGCTGGTCCACTCGCCGTGCAGATGCCGTTATGTGTACACTATTTTCGGTCCCGAGAAGTCGAATACCCATAGAGAAGGGGGGAAAAGCAATGACATCGATACCTCCTCACCCCCCTCTGTACCTGTGGTGTTACCGGTCACGGACACCGCGTGGACGTCTTTGGACTGCCGCAGATCCTACCACGCAGCTGGTTCCCTCTCCCCTCCCCCCTTCAACGGCAATCCTCCGCAGCCGCATCGCGCATACATCCTACCCCGCCGAAAGTGTCCCAAGGTCACTCTGCCATCGGCGCACTCCGCAGGATGACTAGATGGGACACACGCGGAGAGAGGGCGAAAGGGCTGGCCCAACACCGCGCGGCCCTCTCTTGCATGGCAGACTTGGCGCTCACCACCGGGCGCGGTGTCACAGGAGAAAGCGCGATGCTTCCCCAACGCACATGGCTGCTTGTAGTAAGCAAGCCACTGCAGCATTCGGACGGCTCCTTACTGGCTCATCGGCGGTTTTGCTTGGCCGGGGGGTGGTNCTGCAGCATTCGGACGGCTCCTTACTGGCTCATCGGCGGTTTTGCTTGGCCGGGGGGTGGTGGGTTCGCACAGGTTTGCTGAGGTTTGATTGAGGTAGGTAGGTTGTTGTGTTAGTGTCCGGGATGAGGATTGGGGAACACCGGACAAAGCGGCTCCTAGTGTCGGCCAAGAGCCGGCCTTAGTCTCTAGGAAACGAACGACCAACCAACCACCATCTTTGCAGCAGCATGTTGGCTCGGTCCCCCGGAGAGCGGTCAAATCCTTCTTTTCTTCTCTCTCTCTTAAGCTTGTGTCGCATGAGCCCTAAATTCTCATCCAGTCTCGAGGTGGAGGCAGACTGACGTCGTTGTGCCGATTCGTCCGAATTGCTCAGTCGCTTTGCTGTTTGCGCGCTGCTTCTTGCGCCTGCGCCTGCTTCTGCGTCTGCGTCTGCCGCGCAAGACTGCCGTCGTAACCGCGATCCCACTGCTTCCACGAGGGCGAGCCACAGTCTTGTCCAGGCGCCGAGTTGGTGACCGACAGCCCGACCGAAGACTTGTGTGTGTATAAACGACCATGTTTCAGAATATGTGCTTATGCTGCTGCTCGGTTCGGGCTGATCGTGTCCACCTCCACTACGAAAGCCCAGCCGCCAGTCAGATTTGGCAGCAGATCGTTGGCTAGCTGCCGTCGCGCCGAGAGGCGAGGCTGGCATTTGGTGGTCACTTCGGCGTACACTAAGGCAGGAACTCTCACGGTGTCTTGCGCCAGCCTCAACGGATGACGCGGAAGATCGACTTACATCGGGGACGTCGGGGGATACCTCACCGATCTGAAGTAACAAGGCCAATTTTCTGCGTGTGTGTATCGTCTCTAGTACAACATGATATCGGATGTCGGCTGTCTGCAACGCCGTTTTCCATCCCTTGTAATTAATCCCGACCCAAGAAAAAGTCCCTGCTTAATGCCATGCAGCAGGCCTGTCGTCCTGATCCTGTCCTTCTGCAAACTCCAACGTTAAAAAGAAAAGAGCCCGATATTTCGTCTCAAACAAGCCGTTGCTGCAGTGCAGCTTGCAGCTGTCCAAACTCATACAAGAAGTCCGTTGCCTCCCAACACCGCCTCAACCTGCTTTCTAATCCCATGACGTCTACCTCATAATCATCATCACAGGCGCTCGCCAAATTCAGGTTCAACGAAGACCTCTCAGAACCCCCGAGGGCCCCTGAGCGTTCAACCGTGGACGCGGAGCTTGATATCGCGCCCGCGTCTGCGCATACCACTGAGCTTGCGCTTGATACTTCGCTCGACACTGCGCCTCATATCGCGCGTGGTACCGTGCCATTCGCCACATTGGTTGGCTCTACAGCATTGTGCCGAAGGCATCGTCGTTGTTGTTGTTGAACGGAAGGGGCTTGCGCGGACTTCCCTCCTCCGTGGTCTTGCGGTGTCGGAAGGTGAAGCCGACAAAGAGGCTCTTGCCCATTTCGTCATCACGGTCCGCCATGCTCTCCAACGCCTGCTGCTTGTCATGCACCTCCTTGTACTTGGCCATATCGGCCTCGTTGGTGAAGTCATCGAAGTAACCAGCATCAGTCTCGGAATCCAGCTCGGGTACGAAAGGCGCCTTAGTCGTTCGCAGCTGCTCCCAGTCAACCTCGGCGAAGTATTGGTGCGTAAAGATTTCCTTGATGTTGGAGAATCGCTTGGACCGAGAGTTGATGCAACTAAGCTGGGGTTAGAAACCTTTGGAAACAGTGGCGTTGTGGGTCACTTACGTCGTGATAAAATTCCATGTGCGATTGCTGAGGAAATAATTGGGATCCTCCCAAACGGGTCGCTTGAGCACCTCCCTCCAATGCTTCAGGTTTCTCCAAGTCTCATCAGGAGTAGACCCGGCGAAAGGAGGGAAGCCGGTCAACGCCTCGAAAAGCATGCATCCCAAACTCCAGTAGTCCACCGTGTAATCGTACTCGTCACCTCGGAGCACTTCAGGCGCCATGTAGTCAGGCGAGCCCACAATGGACTTGGCGTAGTTGGTGTCCTTTGCGCGCATCGTCTGGTATCCCTCTCGACGCTCGGCGACACTTCGCTGATCCATTGGCTTGCCAAATGGCACTGAGGTTTCGGAAGCCTTCTCAAGGCGGATCCGCATGGACTCGATCTTCGCAGGCGCAAGGAAGCCGGCAGCCAGGCCGAAGTCGGTGAGCTTGACGTGACCTGTGGAGTCGACGAGGAAGTTCTCAGGCTTCAGATCTCTGTGGATGTAGCCGAGCTGATGGAGGGCATCAACAGAGCAGAACATCTCTGCGATGTAGAAGCGGGCATGGCGATTGCTCAAGACTCCAGTGTTGTTGAGCAGAGTGCGGAAATCGCCACCAGGCACGTACTCCATGGCAAGATAGATGCTCCTATCATCTTGGAAAGAGTAAAGTAGTCGAACAAGCCATTCACTCTTGGCGGTGGTGAGAATGTCGCGCTCCGTCAAGACATGACGAACCTCATCCAACTTAAACAGCAACTTCTTGCTCATCACTTTCAAAGCGCACACTTCACGAGTATCCTTCTTCTGAGCCAAAAACACCTGGCCGTAGCCTCCCTGGCCAACCTGGGTAAGAATCTGGAAATCACCCTGGCGAAGTCTGACACGCCTCTTTCGCAGATTGGCGCGCTCTCGGCCCGCGTACTTGGACCACATCTGCTTGTATGCTGCCTCATCGGTTTCGGGCGGGGGAGGAATTTCGGAGTTGAATGCCACCAATCGGTTCTGTCTGGAGCCAACGTAGGTCAACAGGTCGAAGTAATAGTCGAGGAAATCTATGATAGATTAGCAAGCATCACTAGAACCTGTGGGAGCGGACATACAGAGCTGGGTGACATTGACCAATCTGCGAACGTTTGGGCGTTGCAGGATCTCGAGCTCCTCAGGAGTAAGCGGTTTTTGGGTGTTGAACTTGTTTCTGGGCGTCAATGGCTTCTCCTTGGTTTGGTACAGCTCGTGACGAGAGATGGCAGCGTGACTTTGCTGGTACGGTGAATCGGTGCCTCCCAGGCGCGTAATCGGAGGAGTGTTCTCCTGGCCGTTTGACTTCTTCAAAGGGCTGCCCGTGGATGCGACGCCCTTGTGCAGCACGCTATCTTCGACATTGGGGCTCGCCTCGCTCAAGTTGCCCTTTCCTGGTGACTGCGGGGTATTGATGACGCTCAGCGGGCGCTCAAGCCTGGGTCTTTCGAGGACGGGGGTATTCAGCTTGAGTGCGCTGTCGAATGCATCGGGAAGCTCGTTGGCGCCAGGAGGGACAGTCCGTTTGCTTGGGCTCCCTTGAGGCGTGCTGGCGGGGTTGATGAAGCTGTTTCTGGTGGGCGTCTCGGGCCTGGCAGAAGGATCCTTTGCTCCTCCAGGGAGGAAATTGGACATGAAGCCCGACATTGTGGCGGTGTTGACGATGCTCGTAAATGCGATTGGGGGAGGGCGGTTAAAGGGAGTAAATAAGAGTGATCAACCCGTAGGGAGGGGTCGGTTAAGAGAAGATGGGAGGGATGGTCGATACCGCTGCAAGGTACAGATAAAGTTCAGGACTCCGACTCGCGATAGAGGATGCTGGCAAGCGAGGAGTGTGTTGTTATCTTCTCCGCCGTGGGGTTGATGTTGGGTCGGAGTCCAGGGTGATGGATGGAGTCGGCCCAAGATCTGCCCAAGAGAGAGTGACCACTGCACAGTCGATCGCTGGGTGGACACCTGAATGTTTTAGGGGGGCAGCGGGAACAAAGCAATAGTGTTATTGGGCGTTGCGGGGTTCTAAGTCAACAATGTTGCAGGGGCAACTATCGGGCCCCTGTTGATTGGACGCCTCATTAAGCGCGATAAGATAGACGATAAGGTTCCGTAGCTCCTTATCGGTCTTGGCGTAGACGGAACCTGGAAGCTTTCGACGTCAACGCCAACCCGTCTACTGCACATCATCAACCTTGTTTCACACGAAAGAACCACAACCATGCCCAAGGAACGCAACTACAACCCGGTGCAAGCCCAGCGCAAAGCTGACAAGGCCAAGGCGATCAAGAAGGGTGCGTTGGGGTCAATATCGCGCGCGTGTAATCATCTCCAGACGGTCACTGACTTTTGCATCCAGGAAAGGCTTCAATACAATCACAACGAAATGAAAAGCTTGCGCGCCGCAAT